ATAAACCCTTTTCTCCCCAAGTTGTTTTGGTGTTTGATCACCCCTGAGAGCTAGAGGTCTATTGCTTGATGTTTTAGAACTAAGAATGTATGGTTATAATCACTTAGGCTGTGGTAGTTTGAATAGGAAATGCCCCTCACAGTACCCCAGCTAGACACCACATGCTAGCAGATAGCAACCCCAGTATTAGGAATGGGTTACTTCCTTTTGAGTTGTGGGCCAGAGGGGTCCCATAGATTTTCACACATTATAGGCTATTGCTGCTCCACACATTTTATGCAAACACTCCATAATTTGGTCATACGACCCTATTGATGGGTCTGGAGAGATGGATGGCTCAGTGATTAAGATCATCTGTTCTTGTAGAGGATCCAGGTTCAGTCCTAAGTATTAACTTGGTGGCTCACAACCATTTGTAACTCCACTTCCCGGTTATGTAACACCCTCTTATGGCCTCCCTGGGCACCGGGCTCATATATGCAAGCAAAACTCATGCAAAAAGTCTTTACTTTTATAGTTTTAAAGAATATTAGTAAAGAAACCACATACCTGAGTGGTAAAATATGGAAAAATCAAGCTGACCTTGAAGCTTCATCCCTCCTACACAGCTTCATAGTACTGGAAGGTGCTATGTGTGTTGCTGCAGGAGAAATGTCATCATCAGTCTCCTATAGCTGCAAGCCCTATGGACAATGATGACTATGCTGGCAAGAGAGCATATGCAGAGAGCAAAAGACTGCAGGGCGTTCAGCTCTAAAGTGACATCTGTAACATACTTCTCCCTCTAAGACCGAGGACACTTCATGGAAGAGGCTGTGGGAAGATTGTAGGAGTCAGAGAGAGTGAATGACCACAAGGAAACAACCTTTTCCAAACACAGCAGAGCAGTTGCATGTATGAACTCACAACAATTTTAACAGCATTGCACAGACTTGTGAAATCTCAGGTCAGACAAAATACTAGCATGGAGTGGAAGAGGTGGATTTGTTCACTGTAAGAAGAATCTTCTAATGATCAAAATAGATTGTATTAAATAATCAAATTATCGATTTAAAATAATTTAAAGAACTATCCTTCAGTAGTAACTCACATATTTTGAACAGTTGATGGTACTGTTTGGGGAGGTTATGGAACCTTTAGGAGGTGGAGCCTTCCTGGGGGAAGTATTACTAGGCACAGACTTTGAAGGCTTATAGCCGCATCTTACTTACTGTTCCCTTTCTGCTTTGTGTGCGTGGAAGAATATGTGGTCTCTCTGCTCTCCGCTCTTGCAGCCAAGTCATGCATTCCCTGTTATGGAGTCTCCCTCTGGAACTGTTAGCTAAAATAAACCTTTGCTTCTTTAAGTTGCTTTTAGCTATGGCATTTTATCACAGCAACAGAAAATTGATACAGGGCTTTTGATACCAGTGGTCCTGGCAAATGGCAGCTGTTGTAATCATTTGATTATAGCAGCAGTTAGTGGCATTAGACAGTAGCAAGCAGCAGCAGCAGCAGTAGCTGGTACTTTTATGTTATAGCTTTTATACAGGCTTCAGGTGCTAGGCTCCTGGGTCTTACAGCAACAGGTGTTACAGCTCTTAGACCTAGAGTATTAGGGTCTTCAAGTCATTGAGAGCTTCAAGTTTTACAGCTCTCCATAGCTTTTATCTTCTCTGTTGCTTAGTTCCCCATTATTTCTACTCTAGGCATGGTCTTCAGCTCTTCATCTGCCAGGTAGGTTCTGCTTCTGCTGTGCTTACTGCTGCTAGCAGGGCAGTGGCTTTTGTCACCTTCAGTGCTATTGCTGCCTTCCTTCCTTTGTGTGACCAACACAGCCCAGTATATTAATAATAAAGGTCAAAGGGAGATTTGTCAGAAGTCTTTTAATTTTTTAAATAATTTTATTTTATGTGCATTAGTGTTTTGCTTACATGTATGTCTGTGTGAGGGTGTCAGAGCTAAAGTTATAGACAGTTGTGAGCCACCGTGTGGGTGCTGGGAATTGAATCTGGGTCCTCTGGAAGAGCAGCCAATGCTCTTAACCACTGAGCCATCTCTCTAGTCCCATGAAGTCTTTTAATTTGGTCTTAATGCTGCAACACAGCATAAGAGGGTATCTCCCAGATGGCCATAAAGTGAACCAAACAGCTTGCTTATCTGGTCAGAAATGGGTGTGGCTGTAGCAAAGGTTCTGCACTGGGTGCAGTAGACCCACATACATGTGAAGGACCATGCTCGACCCAATAATAGCAGCATCTCATAAAAATGAAGGCATGTGCTTTTACCAATCAGAGCATAATCCCTCAAGCAAATGAGACATAGCATTTGCACTAATCAAAGCAGTTCCTGATGCAAATGAAGGCTTTTATTTGCACAGATCATGGCATAGTGCCTTGCTTTCCTTCCATGCAAATGAGGGAACACACTTGCGGCAATAGTAGTAGTCATCCAAAATGAGATCTGTGTTTGTCCAGTCATGACAGGGTCTTTCATGAAAATGGAGGGTTGCATTTATATCCATCACAACAGTCCCTGTTGTAGATGAAGATGCTTGTAGCAATCATGGGACAGTTCCATACTTGTATAAGTCACAGTCACTTATGTGAATGAAGCCCATGCAAATGAAGAATTCTGTTTGTCCCAATCATGGCATACAATCCCTTGATATCAGAAAGTGTTGAACAGGGCTGGGCATGGTGTTGCATACCTTTAATCCCAGCACTTGGAAGACAGAAGTAGAAAATCTGTGAGTTTGAGGGCAAACTGGTCTACAGAGTCTATAAGGAAGCCAAGGTGAGAACTGTATAGTGAGACTGACCTTGTCTCAAAAAGTTGTTGAGCATTTTTTTTATATATTTACTGATCATTTGTTCTTTTGAGAACTATCAATTTAGTTCATTTGCCCATTATTTGTTACTTTGGTGTTTAATATTTTTAATTATCCATTCTGAATATTTATCCTCTCAGATGAATAAAAGTGGTAATGTAGAATAAATTATGAAGTTAAAAATAAATATGAAATAAGGGGGCAGAGGAAGAGAAAAAAAAGAAGCAAGGCCAAAGATAAAGAAGGCCTGCAAGATGGCGTGGTGAATAAAGGTACCTGCTGTCAAGCCTAACAACCTGAGTTCATCCGTACCTTGCATTGTGTTGGCAGTTAGAAACAGATGGTGATAAACAGGGATGCTCCTTAGGTCTTGTCCCTTTTTTTCCATCTTGGATCCCTGCCCCCATGGACTTATGCCACCCATATATAGGCTGAGCCTCCTCTTGTCTGTCAAGACTCTGGGAAATTCTTCTCAGGCATTCCCAGCCTTAGTACTCCAGGATGAAAAAAGCAATGCACTGGATTTCTTTTCTAGCACTGTGGTGCCATGCAACAGGTGTCACTGTCAGACCAAATCACTCCACCTTAAAGCTTGTGACAACCATGGGTGTTGGTTATGGTTACAACTGCCAGCCTGTTGTTTGTTACAAAAGTTGCCTGACTTCTCTTGTGCTGAGGATTTGGTTTCCTCTCTCCAACAAAGTTCTGGGATTGGCACTGTTAGCTGTTTTCACTTTGCTCCTTGTCACCTTTCTCCTTCTCCATGCATTTTAGCTGTCTGAACTCTGCTTTCTAGATTCTATGTGTTCTTCTTCTCTTTACGTCCTTGGTATCATCTTATTTGTTAACCAGACTCTCCTCATTTGTAGAATCAAATGAAGGAAGCTTTTCTTTTTTTTTTTTTTTTTTTTTTGCACTGCTAAATATGGTTGTTTTTATTTTCTTTTTCCTTGCCCAGCCCTATCTAAACATAAAATAAAACTACAGGACTGAAATTATCAACCCATTAAAATCAGCAATAAGTTATGAAAATCATAAAGCTTTTTTTTTTAAAGTAATTAAGGGTAGTTAAATTATTTAAAGAATACAAAGTCCAAACAGCTGGGGGTAAGGTCTCCAGAAAGGCTTCCCAGGGCCAAGCAGAGGCCCAGAGAAACCTCAGAGTTTGAAAGACAAAGGGAACACATGACATCAAAGTGCAGGCTAGAAAGTTCACTTAGAAGATAACATTTCTGAAAAGATTGGTAAGAGCAACAGTAGCACCTGCACAGTGGGTTCGTGAGGAAGGAGACCGCCTGCAGAAAATGCAGGCCTACAGTAAATGAGACAAGTGCTGAACTTAACTATGTTAACTATGATAGTATGCCTACTATGGATAGCAGATGGTTAGAAGCTGGTAAAGGGGAATGATCCTAAAAGAAAACAAAAACAGCATTGACCTTTGTCTACCCCGCCCAGACCTCATTCATTCTGTGCACTATAAAGAGTGAGGTGTGAGGTGTTTTATCGTTATCAAATGCTGCATCAAAATAGATGATTTTCCCCACGTGTTTTTTCCACTATAAAAGACATCTATGTTTACTTATGGACAAGCTTTAAAAAGATGCCATTTTGGTTTTCAACACATATAAACAGTTATCAAAATCTCAAATAAAAATGCTGCCGTGGCTCAGACCTTGGCCTGCTATGCTGTGTGCACAACTCTTCAGATCGGCGCAGACACAGAGGCACATGGAGCTTTTCCTTCTGTGACACAGCTGTCATGCATGGGCTGCCCCTATGTTGCTGAAGGGTGCAAGCGGGCGGTTGGGTGCCCTAGTGCTAACAATGCAGGTAAGGTTAGCTGGCTTAGCATGGAATCCAACAGAAAGCTGAGCTGCGTGATGATCTCTTTCGAAAGGCTTCATGGGAGTCTCTCCTTCTGTAGAGCACGAAATGAGCTTTTTAAAAATTCATTTTTTTTAAAAGAATTGATCATCCACAGGCTTCATGATAAACTGAGGCTGAGTTTTAAGAGCTCTTTAGCTATCCAAGATTAATGCCTGATTATCCTGTCTTTTCCTTACTCTAAGTCTGATTTTGTTTCTAGGGCCAAGAAGCTCAGGAAGGGTTCATAACCCCACCCTTAAACGTCTACTCAACACAGCGTGAGCAAACTAGGAAAGGAGACAGAATCTCCGCTGTTCTCTTAGAAGTCAACTAAGTCAACTCCAGATAATTACACGTTTCCAGCTGCTGTTAGGAACCGTATTCTTTCCAATATATGAGTATTTGTTCTACTGGGGAGGCTCTACCCCACTTTTTGTTAAGTATTTGCTTAAATACAGGTCTTCTGACCCTTTTGTTCAAGTATGGTTTTGTTTAGTTTTGAAGGAGACTGCGTCATGAACCCAATTGAAGAGACGGTACTGAACTGGCCCGATGGGTGTGTCGCCCTGCACTGCTGTCGTGCTGGGCTCTAGGACGTGAAGGAGAGTTTGACACTGGCACTGGAGTAACCCTCATCACTCCCAATACTCTGCAGGCTGCTGTGGTCATCAATGTCACTGATGCTGGTGGTGCTTATATTGTCCACTTCTCCATGGGAGAACTCTGTGCTTTCAACGTCCACTTCAATCTCCTCTCGCTCTGAGTCCGAGCGGTCGGAAGAGATAGTCGACCCAATGCTATCCATTCGTATCCGCTCCGTCTCTTGAGGACCCTGCAGCTGTTCCAGTCGCCGCTTTAGAAATCTCTGTTCTCGTTCCAAGTTCTCAAGCTGGTGCTGGCTCTTCCTTTCAGCTTCTTCAAGTTTCTTGATGTGTGCTTTGGCTTTGTTGAGCAAACCGAGGGTTGTATGCCTGGTGCAGTCTGGACCCAGTGGGATCAGAACTTTCAAGCGTTCTAAACACAGGCGCAGGTGAGCTCGTCGGTTCTTTTCCAACTCATTGTGTGTAGATCTGTTGGCAGTGCTGGTAGTGCTGCTCCCATTGCTGTGTTTCTGTGCCCGGCTCAACCTCCGTGGGGGCTTTGAATGCTGTAGCCGGGGGCTCGGCATGGAGGGGAACGATGAGGCGTAGCCATGTTCACACTCTCGCTCCCTGCGCTCCAAAAACTCGGCGGCCTCCAGCAGGCGCTGCACGTTGATCATTCGCACCCGCTCCATGGGCTCCGCGCTCCCGCCCCCCGCCGACAGGAGGCGCCACAGACGGCTACAGTCCCACGACGCCCCGGGACATGTGCGGCGGGCGGGCGGGCCAGCTCGGCCCCGGCTCGGCGCGCTCTCCGCCGCCCCAGCCGTGCCCGCCGCGCCCGCCGCGCAGCCTGCAGCCCGCGCGCGGTTTGTTTACTTCTCCAGGAAGCTTTTCATGTTCCCTTTCACAGAAGGAAAATAATTTCATGATAAATTGTTATAGAATATAGGAATAATAAATATCCTTAAACCCAAGCTTGTAAGCAGAGGCTGCTTGTTGATTCCAGCCACCCAGACTGGAAATAATCACACAGAAACTACATTAATTACTACACTGCTTGGCCAATCACTTAAGTGTATTGCTTGCTAGCTCTTATATCTTTTTTTTTTTTTTTTAAATTTAGAGGTCAATTTATTTTTTTTTTTTAATAATTTTTTTTATTAAGAAAAGAAGAAAAAAACATAAACAAAAAACAAGTTTCCACCTCCTCCCAGCCTCCCATTTCCCTCCCCCTCCTCCCACCCTTCTCCCCCTCCTCCCACCCTTCTACCCCTCCCCCCACTCCTCTCCCCCTCCCTCTCCAGTCCACAGAGCAGTCCAGGTTCCCTGCCCTGTGGTAAGTCCTAGGTCCTCCCCCCTCCGTCCATATCTAGGAAGGTGAACATCCAAACTGGCTAGGCTTCCACAAAGCCAGCACATTAAGTAGGATCAAAACCCCGTGCCATTGTCCTTGGCGTCTCATCAGCCCTCATTGTTCGCCATGTTCAGAGAGTCCGGTTTTATCCCATGCTTTTTCGGTCACAGTCCAGCTGGCCTTGGTGAGCTCCCAGTAGATCAGCTCCACTGTCTCAGTGGGTGGGTGCACGCCTCGTGGTCCCGACTTCTTTGCTCATGTTCTCCCTCCTTCTGCTCCTCATTGGGACCTTGGGAGCTCAGTCCAGTGCTCCAGTGTGGGTCTCTGTCTCTGTCTCCATCCATCACCAGATGAAGGTTCTATGATGATATGCAAGATATTCGTCAGTATTGCTCTAGGATAGGGTCATTTCAGGTTCCCAATCCTCAGCTACCCAAGGAACTAACTGGGAACCTCATGTTGGGCACTTGGGAGCCCCTCTAGGGTCAAATCTCTTGCTCACCCTAAAGTGGTTCCCTTAACTAAGAATTGTGGTTCCGTGCTCCCCTATCCACCTTTCCTTTATCCCAATTCTCCTGATTCCCCAAGTCCCCCCTCCTTCCCTTCTACCTTTTCTCTCCCCATCTCCCCTTACCCCCATCCCACCCCACCCCCAAGATCCTAATTTTCTCCCCGGCAATTGGGTCTACTTCCCTTAGCCAAGAGGATAACTATATGTTTTTCCTTGGGTTCACCTTCTTACTTAGCTTCTTTAGGTTCACCTATTGTAGACTCCGTGGCCCTAATTTATGGCTAGAAACCAATTATGAGCGAGTACATCCCATGTTCATCTTTTTGGGTCTGGGACACCTCACTCAGGATAGTGTTTTCTATTTCCATCCATTTGCCTGCAAAATTCGAGAAGTCATTGTTTTTTACCGCAGCGTAGTACTCTAGCGTGTATATATTCCATACTTTCTTCATCCATTCTTCCATTGAAGGGCATCTAGGTTGTTTCCAGGTTCTGGCTATTACAAATAATACTGCTATGAACATAGTTGAACAAATGCTTTTGTCATATGATAGAGCATCTCTTGGGTATATTCCCAGGAGTGGTATTGCTGGGTCCAGGGGTAAGTTGATCCCGAATTTCCTGAGAAACCGAAACACTGACTTCCACAGTGGTTGCACAAGATGGCATTCCCACCAGCAATGGATGAGGGTACCCGTTCCTCCACAGCCTCTCCAGCAAAGGTTATCCTTGGTGTTTTTGACTTTAGCCATTCTGACAGGTGTAAGATGATATCTCAAAGTTGTTTTGATTTGCATTTCCCTGATTGCTAAGGAAGTTGAGCACGACTTTAAGTGTCTTTTGGCCATTTGAACTTCCTCTGCTGAGAATTCTCTGTTCAATTCAGTGCCCCATTTTTTAATTGGGTTAATTAGCATTTTAAAGTCTAGTTTCTTGAGTTCTCTATATATTTTGGAGATCAGACCTTTGTCTGTTGTGGGGTTGGTGAAGATCTTCTCCCAATCAGTAGGTTGCCTTTGTGTCTTATTGACTATGTCCTTTGCTTTACAGAAGCTTCTCAGTTTAAGTAGGTCCCATTTATTCAATGTTGCCCTTAATGTCTGTGCTTCTGGGGTTATACATAGGAAGCGATCTCCTGTGCCCAGCTCCTGTAGGGTACTTCCCACTTTCTCTTCTATCAGGTTCAGTGTGTTCGGGCTGATATTGAGGTCTTTAATCCATTTGGACTTGAGTTTTGTGCACGGTGATAGATAAGGGTCTATTTTCATTCTTCTACAAGATGACTTCCAGTTGTGCCAGCACCATTTGTTGAAGATGCTTTCTTTCTTCCATTTTATACTTTTAGCTCCTTTATCGAAAATCAGGTGTTCATAGGTTTGTGGGATAAAATCCGGGTCTTCTATACGATTCCATTGGTCGACTTCTCTGTTTTTATGCCAGTACCACACTGTTTTCATTACTGTAACTCTGTAATAGAGTTTGAAGTCAGGGATGGTAATGCCTCCAGAAGATCCTTTATTGTATAGGATTGTTTTGGCTATCCTGGGTTTTTTGTTTTTCCATATAAAGTTGATTATTGTTCTCTCCAGATCTGTGAAGAATTTTGATGGGATCTTGATGGGGATTGCATTGAATCTATAAATAGCCTTTGGTAGAATTGCCATTTTTACTATGTTGATCCTCCCAATCCAAGAGCAAGGGAGGTCCATCCATTTTTTGGTATCCTCTTCAATTTCTTTCTTCAATGCCTTAAAGTTCTTGTCAAATAGATCTTTCACTTCCTTGGTTAGATGTACCCCAAGATATTTTATGCTGTTTTTGGCTATTGTGAATGGTGAAGCTTCTCTGATTTCCCTCTCTGCTTCCATATCCTTTGTGTATAAGAGGGCGACTGATTTTTTGGAGTTGATCTTGTATCCTGCCACATTACTAAAGCTGTTTATCAGCTGTAGGAGTTCTTTGGTGGAGTTTTTGGGGTCGCTTATGTACACTATCATATCATCTGCAAATAACGAAAGTTTAACTTCTTCCTTTCCAATTCGAATCCCCTTGATCCCATTATGTTGTCTTATTGCTATTGCTAGAACTTCAAGCACTATATTGAAGAGGTATGGGGAGAGTGGACAGCCTTGTCGTGTTCCTGAGTTAAGTGGGATGGCTTTGAGTTTCTCTCCGTTTAATTTGATGTTAGCTGTCGGCTTGCTGTATATAGCTTTTATTATATTTAGGTATGACCCTTGTATCCCTAATCTCTCCAAGACTTTTAACATAAATGGATGTTGAATTTTGTCAAATGCTTTTTCAGCATCTAATGAAATGATCATATGGTTTTTTTCTTTCAGTTTATTTATATGCTGGATTACATTGATAGATTTTCGTATGTTGAACCAGCCCTGCATCTCAGGAATGAAGCCTACTTGATCATAATGGATAATTTTTCGGATGTGTTCTTGGATTCGATTTGCCAGTATTTTGTTGAGGATTTTTGCGTCGATATTCATGAGTGAGATTGGCCTGTAGTTCTCTTTCCTGGTTGAGTCTTTGAGTGGTTTTGGTATCAGAGTAATTGTGGCTTCATAAAAGGAGTTTGGTAATGACCCTTCTGTTTCTATCTTGTGGAATACATTAAGGAGTATAGGTATTAGATCTTCTTGGAAGATCTGGTAGAATTCCGCATTGAAACCATCTGGTCCTGGGCTTTTTTTGGTAGGGAGGTTTTTGATAACCTCTTCTAATTCTTCGCGACTAACAGGTCTATTTAGATTGTTCACCAGGTCCTGATTTAACTTTGGTATATGATAATTATCTAAAAAAGTATCCATTTCCTTTACATTTTCCAATTTTGTGGCATATAGGCTTTTGTAGTAAGATCTAATGATTCTCTGAATTTCCTCTGTGTCTGTGGTTATGTCCCCCTTTTCATTTCTGATCTTATTAATTTGCAAATTCTCTCTCTGCCGTTTGATTAGCTTGGATAGTGGTTTGTCAATCTTGTTGATTTTCTCCAGGAACCAGCTTTTTGTTTCATTGATTTTTTGTATTGTTTTCTGTGTTTCTATTTTGTTGATTTCAGCCCTCAGTTTGATTATTTCCAGTCTTCTACTCCTCCTAGGTGAGTCTGCTTCTTTTTTTTCTAGAGCTTTCAGGTGGGCTGTTAAGTCTCCAATGTGAGCTTTCTCTGTTTTCTTTAAGTGGGCACTTAGTGCTATGAACTTTCCTCTTAGGACTGCTTTCATAGTGTCCCATAAGTTTGAGTATGTTGTTTCTTTATTTTCATTGAATTCCAGGAAGACTTTAATTTCTTTCTTTATTTCTTCCTTAATCCAGCTATGGTTCAATAGTTGACTGTTCAGTTTCCATGACTTTGTATGCTTTCTGGGGGTAGCATTATTGTTGAATTCTAACTTTAATCCATGGTGATCTGATAAGACACAGGTGGTTACTAATATTTTTTTGTAACTGTGGATGTTTGCTTTGTTACCGACTATGTGGTCGATTTTCGAGAAGGTTCCATGAGCTGCAGAGAAGAAGGTATATTCTTTCCTATTTGGATGGAATGTTCTATAGATGTCTGTTAAGTCCATTTGATTCATTACCTCCACTAATTCTCTTATTTCTCTGTTAGGTTCCTGTCTGATTGACCTGTCCATTGGTGAGAGAGGAGTGTTGAAGTCTCCTACTATTAGTATGTGCGGTTTGATGTCTGCCTTGAATTTTAGCAATGTTTCTTTTATGTACGTGGGTGCTTTTATATTAGGGGCATAGATGTTCAGGATTGAGACTTCATCCTGATGAACTGTTCCTGTTATGAGTATAAAATGCCCCTCTCCATCTCTTCTGATTGATTTAAGTTTAAAGTCAACTTTGTTAGAGATTAGTATGGCCACACCTGCCTGTTTCTTAGGACCATTTGCTTGATAGGCCTTTTCCCAGCCCTTTACTCTGAGTAGGTGCCTGTCTTTGTGGTTGAGGTGTGTTTCTTGTAAACAGCAGAATGTTGGATCCTGTTTT